AAAATTATCATTTTAATGGACAAATACCATAAAAAACTAAGTCAAATGGACGCCAAATTTTCAACATTTTCCATGGAAAATTATACAAATCAAACACAATTAATTACAATTCCTAGTAAAACATTTTATAAGAAAATCAATTCCCTGTAAAATATTTTCTTTCCACCCATTTTCCACCCTTACAATCAAACGGACCTTAACAAAAGAATACAAAAGCTATTGGAGTGTACGAGATTAGAAACCTTAGCTTCAAACAATGTATATTTCGTATGTTTGCAAGAATGAAACTCAAAGGAAATGATATAGGGTAAGTTTATGGATGCTCGTACAAGTGATGAAGCATATAACTTACTCACGCAACACAGAATATTGCTAGGGTTTGTCATAAAAGAATTTTATTAAGGTTCGACATAAAAGAATCTTATCAGAGTTTGACATATGTTTGAATCCTTTTAAAATGTAGTGATGTCTTTAGAAACACGTGCATAAATCGTGTGTTGATGTCATGAGTTCGTTCCATATGGTGTTATGTCTGATGACGAACACAACCCTCATGTGTAGTTGTTGTTATTGCCGTCGTTGAGTTTTGGCTCCTTTAAAGAAATTGTCAACGATTTACAGTCCAGAAAAATATTTGATTTTTATGAATTATTTTGGTTCTTTTGAATTATCATGTCAACTTCCTTTTATAAATGTCTATATTATGAGTACAAAATGACTATTTAAGATCAATCCCGAGTTACCAATATTTTTATTTTACTAAATCTATAATATTATACATTAGTGCTATTTTAATGATAATGTAAATGATTTTGAAAAACACTTTAAGCTTCAATTTGAAATTTTACACAAAATTCGATGAACTTCTATGAATTTAACTCAGAGTTAGCTTGTCTTGCAATATATTTAACGATAGTTATTCCACATAATAAAGATGGTTAAAATTCATTATGATCTTTTAAAATTTTTTGATCTGTTTAAAGATCTGGCAATGATGGCCATTTATTTCCTTCTTCCCTAAGCTTCCATATCTTTCTCTTTCCCTCCTACAATAAAGCCACCACCAAACACCGAACATTGCCATACACCAAATTTCAACAACGGCCAATAAATATTGCAAAAAATAAAAAATTTCATAACATTCAAAGAACGTTGCAAAAAGTATAACTTTCGCAACAATCAATGACCATTGCAAAATGTTATATATTAAGTGTTTCGGCAACATGCACTAAACGTTGTTGTAGAACCAAACTTTTCACAACATTCAAGAAACGTTACAAAATGTGATATTAGCAACATGCAATTAAAAAATGTTGCAAATGCTCAATTATGTTAATCAATGACAACATTTACTTATTAAAATGTAGCTATAAACTCTTTTAGCAACACTCAATTAACAAATATTGCAAACGGTGATTTTTTGTTGTAGTGAACTAACGGAGTGATCGATGTTGTAATGTTAATTAATTTTAGTGACTTAATTGTTCAGAAAAAGTATTTTGAAACTTCGCACAAACGTCAGATATTATCAATGAAAATTTTACATCTTCCATAATTTATCTATTAATCTTTCGAGCTAAAGATTCCACGAGTTAATATTATTCTCCTTTTGCTAAGTTGGCATCTTTGCAATAAATTATTTGAGTTTTGTTTGAATTCTCGTGGTGTCACCAAAGTGTTCTTATGTTAAAGTGTTGCGTTGCTAAGTTCTTGGTCGTTCAAATTTTCATGTCCGAAAAAACTTTGACAGGTTGCCACGTAATAACATTCAAGGAAGGTCAAGAAGCTACACAAAGCAAATCTTTTAATAGAAATTTCTCTGGTATCAATAAGTAGTTTAGCATCATGACCATATTGAGTGGCTTGGGTAATTATTTGTGCGAGGAAAAATGGATTAGAAAGTTCACCAATCAATGTCTTAAGGGAAAAATTCATATATCCTGCTTTTAAGTATATACTATTTCAAAAATAAAAAAACAAATTTTAAATTTTAAAAATCAGATATGGCATATATATATAATATAATATAATATAATATAATCCACCCCACCTCCACCACCCCTACCGCTCTGACGACCGTCCGATTCCGGCAATTGTTCCAACTCCGACGAATATTCCGACGACAACTCTGCTATATTTTTTTTTGTACGTTTGACATGATTTTTGACCTTTTGATTGTTACATGGGACTAGTAATATAAAATGTGACCTGTATATTTGAACCGTGACTCTACAAATGCATGTAACCTGTTTATATTGATTTGTAACCTATAAAAAAAGCCNATTGGTCATAATTTATTCATCGATCACAAATAAAATATTTATACGTCACAATTTTTTTATCGGTCACAAATCACAAATATTATAAGTTACGACTTATAGTTAGTCACAAATTAACAAATTTTTATGTCACACATTCTTTTTTGGTCATAATTTTATATGTCGCACGTTATTTCTCAGTCACGAATCAAAAATGCTATAGGTCAAAAATTATTTATCAATCACAAATCAAAATTTTTATTGGTCACAACTCGATTATAACTTGTTCAGAGTTTATTTGTAGGTCACGGATTTTCAAATTAGTTAGTCACAGATTTTTTAATGGTCACGTATAAAAAAATTTGTAGGTCACAATTAATTCGTCGGTCCTAGAATTCAAAATTTATAGGTCACATAGTCACAGAGTTTCAAACTAATTGGTCACATATTCTTTCACGGTCACATATTATATAATTTTTAGGTAACAGATGACAACATGGTTGGTCACAAATTAACCAACACCCCACTTCCACCTCCGATCATGATCCACCACCAGACCGCCACAAAAACACCACCGTTCTCGCAGATCCACCACCATTGTACAACAACATACCACCACCGCACGATCACATATATAAATGTTTCTTTCATATGCACACTGTAAATATCATCAATTAAAATATATAAATCCATACAGTGTAGCAAACGTATATATATGTATAAGAACAAGCATACAAATGCACCTACATGTATCAAGCATTCATGTGCCTGCACTTGAGATGAATTCTTACCTTGCATTGTAATCCTATAAAAATCTTTGGATCAGCACCTTCAAAACTCAACCTGCATCCCACAAAAAACAAAAATTCAATGAAATCAACCAAAACCATGATTGGTGAATTGAAACTAACCAAGGCATCATCGAATGAAGCCTATAAAATAGAGTAAAACGTACCTAACCCATTTCTTGGTCAAAAGCCCTGAATTCTTCAACTCGTTTACAAAACAATCACTATTTCTACGCTTCCTAATACTGTCACTATAATTAACTTTACTCCAGCAATTCCTATTTTTACTGACTTTACCAAAATCATTTTCCAATATTTGTAACCAAAGATGATGATCTAAATTACTCAATGCATTACAATTAATCCCCAATTTGGTTAATTCGGTGCTTCCCACTCTCCTCCTCCTCTTCTCCTTCATTAACCCTTCATCACCCACAGACTTCTCAAAGATATTAGTTTCCTCTATTCTTTTCCGGCGCCGAAAGTAAAATTGGGTTATGGACGGCCTCATAGGAAGTGGGGTTATTTGGTTATCGCGATCAATGATTTGAGAGACCATATCCGGTTTATGTGACGCGTAGAATGCAATTCAGGGAAGTTTTTCTTCCGTAAGCACTTGAAAAATGGGGGCTTAATTTTATACTCTCGTTTTCTTCTGGGCAGGACAAATTGGTCGCAGGAGAAGTTGCATTGAATTGAGGAGACTGTAGAGGGGGTTGGATTATGTTGTGGTGAGAAACAATTGGTTTCCTCTATTTACAGGTGGTGGTTGTGGCGGGCGAAGTCGCCGACGATGGCTCTTGAAATTGTGGCCGTGAGTGGTTGTGCGCGGGCGATGTAGAGAGAGAATGGATGGAGGTTGGAGTGAGGGAGGCGAGAGACGGTTGTGAGAGAGAATGGAGAGGAGATGACGTTGCACCGCCAATCGTCATCGCAACAGCAACGGTCACATCGAGTGGGTTGCTGCAGCGGATAGCGGCGACGGTGGTGGTTTCATTTTGGGTTTGAGAGAGACGGTGGTGAGAGAGAGTAGATGAGAGGAGAGAAATT